AATGGGCTATTCAAGATGGAAGTCATCGCCTATAATCCCTTTTTTTCAACTCAATTTACAAGATATTCATCACAAAAGGCATGGTAAACAAGAACCAAACTACAGAGAATGACAAAATTTTAGCTCCATTATTCTGAATCTTGCTGAAGATTCACTCAGAATTAAACAAATCATCATCCTAAGAACTGAATCTTAAAATCTTATGTAGACCACCTAAAGGAAGTGATTGAAATTGAATGGCTATAAACTCTGAAATCATGAAAAGGGTATACAAGAAACGCATCAAATCATCCTCAGAACAGGGATTCAGTTTCAATTGGGATCCATAAATGCATATTAATAAATATATAATCACACACACATTTCTTCAAAAAGAAAACTTTTTGACCTAAAGAGACGAAATATATAGCAAGAAAACAGTCATAAACATAAAATTAATAGTTTCAAAAAGAAATTGATAAAATAAGCTGTTGATACCTTACTGACCTCAAATTCAGAAGTGGAACTGAACTGAACAGCAAAAAGAAGATGAGGAATGCAGATGACACGGAAATAACGGATGTCCCAATCTTCTAATTTTGGTTTAAATAAACTCTGAGATTTTATATCGTGTAAGCGACGTGGGAACTGATAATCTGAGGAATAATTCATTAATAAATTTATATTCGGCATATTAATCGAATATTCAATCCATTAAAAGCTTTTTTCTAATAAAAAAAAAAAATTAATAATAATGTGAAAGGAGGATCCACGAACAATGTTTAGAAAGAAATATAAGGAAAAAATAATAATAAGAAGAAAAATAAAACATGAAAAAATAATTGGTAAATGTAGATCGTGTCAGTTAAATTGGTATTTTTTTTTAGTTTCCTTTCGCCAAATAATAATATTCGTATTTTTTTAGCCCCTTTCACATTTTGTTGACTTGTCAATAAATAAACGCTAACAAAATTATGGGACAATTGACAAACTCTGATTGAAGAGTGCGGTGTAATTTCTAAAAATATAAGAGAAATTTTTTTAATTAATGCTTACAAGAGGAGAGTATAGTATAATTTTTCCAAAATTCAAAAACCTTTCCATTTAACTTCATAACTTGCACTGGTGTTCTTTGAGATTTATGATTCGTTAACAAATTTTCCCCTCCATTAACTTTTAATGTTAGTCAACTTCAATTTTTACTAAATTAAAATTTTAAAATACCAATCTTTCTATTAAAATGTTTGTAACAGAAATGGAGGTTAATAAGGCCTACAATGAAAGAAGTTGCAACAGAGTTGGAAGTGATTAGAATGCCATATGGAGCATCTACTATTCAACAAAACTATGAAGAGGTTGAATTTGCGGTAGCTGGCCACATTGGGCCGTGGGATGCTGCTTCAACTTCGATAAGTTTTTATCAAGATAGTAGTGTATCATCATCATCATATGTCCAATATCTATTATCAAAGTAAATATGGTGGTTAAGGTTTTGTTTTTTCCGTATATTACATGCCCTTCTTTGAATAATAGTGTATAAGCACTGAAAGATGTTCCTACTTCTGGTGTTTAAGAAATCATGATCAGCAAGAAAATTTTACTACCCCCTATATTATTTTCCATCTTGTGTAAACTAATCATGATGAGAAATATGCTTAACATATGTTTCTGTGAAGTATTTTTGGATATCATTTTGTATCTAAACTGGAATTATATACAATGCTTTTTTTATTGGTTGAGTACGATACATCTCTTCTATTGTTTTTGGTGCTCTAGTTAAGTCTTGCCCATTCTGAATAAGAATGGATGCATCCTCTTATTCAGGATCCTTATATGGACCAATACGGTAGACACAATACGGATGCACCAAATTCTACTAGTTCAGAATCAAACACCCAAAGGAGATGGTCCAAAGACATTCTCCATTTGACCATATCTAAGGCCATATCTAAGAAAAAAATAACATATTATTATTATTAACTCAACGGGATCTTCTCCCTCAAATCAGACAAACACGGAAGGGAATCCCTTTGAATTCTTACGTTGTCATGTATCTATGTTTATTTTTCTATTAGCAAGAGATAGATGATACAAAACAAACAACTCACAATCAAAATCTATTCCAAGAAAAACTTTCTTCCACAACATTTTGGTAGTGTATTAGTCCCCATCAACTCTGTGCTTCATCCAAATAAAGGCAAAATGGTGCTCAAAATTGACAATAAACGCATTGATATATCTAAAAGGCTGGAACACCCTCGGATAATTAGCTATACAAGATAGCCGAAAACCAAAACACAGAAGGATGGCAAGGGGGGAAAAAATGGAAGGAAATTAGAGCACCTTTTGAAATACTGCTGTACTCCGAATTTAGTGCAAGGATAGCAGATTGCAATTATGTTTCAATCATAGGAATAATCATAATCTATTGAGAATGAAAAATAATGGAGTTAGATGGAACTTAAATGACAGTACAGATTTCAATGATGAGGAGGGTAAGGAAAAAGTCTTCCATGGACTTGTGGGAAAAAAAAAAAAAAAAAAAAAACAAAAACAACCCCAAGTTCGAGTGCCAAAAGAGGGGTTGTATATGGATTTGGGAGGGAGTGCTACCCTAATGGTGAAGGGTCTTAATGGCTTCCAAATTTGTGCACATAAAGATTTATATGGTGACTTGATCCAAATTATTATACTTGAGGGCATGTTTCAACTCAATTTACAAAAGGTAAGATTCAAAATTTGGAATGATTGAAGCAAACAAGAACCAAAACTACAGAGAATAACAAAAGTTTAGCTCCATTAGTCTGAAACTTGCTGAAGATTCACTCAGAATTAAACAAGTCAACATCCTAAAAACTGAATCTTAAATACCTAAAGGAAGCGATTGAAATTGAATGGATATAAACTCTGAAATCATAAAAAAGGGTATGCAAGAAACTCGTTAAATCATGCTTGCCCTAATCCTCAGAAGATGGGCATTGAGTTCCATTCTGTTTTGGAACTCATCAATACACGCAGATTAATATATACGTAGTAGTAATACACAAGTTTCTCAAGATAAATTAATGGTTTCAAAGAGAAATTGATAAAGATAAATTACTGACCTCAAATTCAGGAGTGGAACTGAACTGTGAATGACAAAAGGACGACGAGGGAAAAAAAATTTACTCCGAGGAATAATTCATTAAAAAAACAACAACAACAACAAACTGAGGAGTAGGGTTTAAGGAGTATTTTCAGTCAAAACATAACCCTTAAACAGACATCAGTTAAAATACCCCTCAGGGGTGATTTTCTTTTAAAACAATTCATGGGGGGTTTTGCTACCAGGTGAAAGTCGAAGGTGGTGGGTCTTTTTTTTTTTTTTTTTTTTTTTTAACTTACTCTCCCTAACCTCTCAATCTCCTCCATTCCACCATCGCCATCATAACCCACCACATAACATTGAGACTTCAATTTTAATGAATTATGCTCCTAAACAGTTCATGAATGGCTCAAAGGTGGTTTCACTAGTTAATAAACCATCTGATTTAAACTAAATAATTGGGAATTCAAAAGGAATTTTTGATGGGCAAACTTAATAGAGTCTCTCGAGACCTTCATGTTAAAACCTGGGGGGAAACAATCCATTAGTAATTCATCAAAAATCCCAAATCATCCTTAATTATGCCTCTACCTGTAATAAATCCAAGATTTTTCCTTTGGATTTCATCCTATTTCTCTCTCCTCTCACTTGGCTTCAATTATCCATTATATATATAAACTGTGGAATATATATATTTCATCCTGTTTAAGGTGGGTTGTGGTGGCGATTGTGGGATGGAAGAGAATGAGAGGTTAAAAAAACAAAAAGAGGTAACTATTTAAGGGGTATTTTCATCCAAAACATAATCCCTTAAACAAACATCAGTTAAAATACCCTCTCATGATAGTTAAGGGGATTTTTTTGCTAAAACAATTCATAAGGGGGTTTCTGCTAACAGGTGAAAGTTGAGGGAATTTTTTGCAATTTGCCCTTAATAAATTTATATTTGATTATATTAATGGAATATTCGATCGGTTAAGAGCAAATTTTTAAAAATAATAATAATAATGTTAAAAGAGATTCACAAAAAATGATTATTTAAAAAAGAGTAATAATAGAGAAACCGAAAAGGAATTCTTGAATTAAAATCGAATTTGACGTGGTTGGCTATACTTATCACGTATAAATAATTATTTTTTGGAAACTATTTTGGACTTATTCGAATAAATCATTCGGTGACCCTATCATTTTAAGAAAAGAAAGAAAGAGAAAACACGTGACAAATAAAACATGTTTTGGATTTTTTGTGTTGCTTAGATTGCTTAAAATATTACTAGCATTTCGGAACCGTTTTAATAATATTACAACAAAAAAAAATAAAAAAAAACTATTATAATATATGTACTAAATAATGAAACTTTGTAGACTTAAATTTAACAAAACTACTGAAATTTTAGAGGATTTAATAATATTTGTTCATATTGGAATTTGGAAAATATTCAAAGTTTATATTATTTTGTTTTTAAATTTAATTTAATGTTGATTATTATAATTCTGCTTCTAACTTTTGAAAGAAATTGAGTCACAAATTTGGTAAACCACTAACAATAATATTATGTCTCAAAATAATAAAGAGTAAATTTTACTTATTTTCTCTAATGCCACTTTGTTTATTTGGGAACTCTAATCTTTGCCATTTATTTTGAGAGGTATGGGCAATATTATTTAGACCATATTAATTTTTTATTAATTTTTTCTTACTGACATTCGCAAACAACGAGAATTTGTTAATAAATCTTCCTTTTTTTTAATACCTCAACTTTCTTATAATCTAAATTACTCAAGTTAGTGAAATTTTGCCAAATGATAAAATTTCTTGCAGCTTTAAATTACACATTGGTTTGTCTATCTCCATGGCACGTGCCACATATCATGAGTTACCTACTTACCTTAACAAGTAAAAAAATGGAGGGGGATTGGGCCCACCAAGGTCATAGCAACAACACATCTGAAAGACTGCAATTGAATTGAAGATGAGAGAGAATTGATGTGTGAGAAATGGAGGAACACGAAGAGCCATCGTCTCCAGGAGTCAGTCCGGTACTACTCAAAGAATGCATAGAGGAGGTGCTCAACTTTACACTCGCGTCCTTAATCGACGAAACCCTAGGATTCGATATAGGCCTTTCAAAGGAGTACTGTTCTAACCTCCTCAAGAACGACCCTGCAAACCCCAATTGCAATCACACCGGTACTTGTTTAATCATCAAAATCAAATCTTCACTATCTACACTTCCACAAAACTCATTACTCAACACACACACACACACACACTTCTTCCCTACTCAAGTCACCAGCTATGATGTGTAGTATGTGTGTGTATAATTCAGTTAATTTTGTAGAGCTTCTGTTCTTGAGTGTTGTGTTATTTAGAAATGAATGACTGATCTATAGCTTAATTACTTTGTTAAGGTAGTGATTCCTGAAGCTTGTTGTGTCCATTTATTTATGCATGCCAAATTCAGATGGGGTGGGGACGTGGTTTGTAAGTTGTGAATTTGTGGGCAGTTTGGAGGCCAATTCTGAATCTGAATTTGTTTGTATTGTTGAAATTATTTGAATTTAGACTATTGGATTATTATTATTATTTTTCAATTGTAGTCAACATAAATTTGGCCTAGCTTCTCTATACTTAACTCAATTTTGAAATGAATCATTAAAAAAGTACTAATCCGATTGGTGATCCAAGCTGAGGTACATATACATACATACATGCGCTGGGCTGAATGCCATTTGGTGTGTAGTTGATGTGGGATTTGGGCAGGAAAAAGAATATTGTTTTAGTAACTTGCTCAAATAAGTGAAGTCGGATAGAAGCCGAAGAAGAAGAGAGTAGGAATGAAAAAGAGGCAAACAATCTGAGACATATTTAGTACACATCAAACTTGTGAATCCTTTTGTACTGTGGACCTTAATTATAAACCATTGGAATCTTTCTTGGCAAGTTAAAGAACTTTCAGAATCTATGCAGCTATACTAACCAATATAAGAAACAAGCAGCAATATTTTTTCTAAAAAGTACTAAACTAAATATTTAAATTTTGTCCTAGCTTCTCTATAGTTAACTCAATTTTGAAATGAATCATTAAAAAAGTACTAAAACAGTCAAATATTTAAATTTTGTCCAACTTTTTAATCCAAATTTCATGCCAATCCGATTGGTGATCCAAGCTGAGGTACATAATGCTACTGGTGTGTGGCACTTGCCATGCACATGGTAGGAAACGAAGCATTATTGAATTGTAGTTATGTCGTGGAAACACCTTGTGTTGCGGTAGAATGAAGCTTAATTTTGACAATAGATTACACAAATCTGGTGGCCAATGCATTTATGATTAAGGACAGAAAATTTTCATTCACACTTGTTACAGATTTTTCCGGAGGTGTTTCTCAATATCCTCTACGCAAGCCTCTAGCATCAGCTTTGTACCAGTCTATATCTTCTGGAACTTTGATCCATGAAGACAGTTCCATGAAGCAGAAAGAAGAAAAGTGGAATCAATTGGTTCTAGCAAAGGGGTCTGAATTAGTAAATGTAAGTTAAATGTGATGATGTCAATCATTTTCTGTTTTCCTTCTTATTATATTTATTTATGATACATTGGTGTCATTGTTGTTAACAAATTGTATGCCCTTCTATCAGATGTTGAAAACTATTGACTTTGAACTTCATGTTCAGGAGCCTTTCTTTTCCCAGCTCAAAGGTATTGTGTGTTTGTATTAAGAAGTACATGGCGGCCCATAACTGGATTATATATTTTGATGCTTAACTGTGGAAGTCCTAATTGCTTTTGAGCTTGATTTCTTGATAAATTGTTTCTATCTGGTGAATGATTATTTATTCATATTAACTTGGCATTGCTTGCAGATGGCCTAAAAACAACTGAAGGAAGATGTGCTGTTGGTGACTATAATAAGTATGGCTTATTTTAGTTCTGTATACAAATTATGTAATAATGCACTTTGCTGAATTTTTTCACATTCTTTTTTCACGTTGCTCTCTTCTTTTGTGTCATAAATCAAATACTATGTAACTGTTACAGGTCCCACTTGGGTTGGTTTAGTTTGAAATTTGAATCAAGCTCAACGTAAACCAAGTATTTAGAGTTTCAAACAGAATAAACTTCTCTGAACCCCTAAATAGACATTCAAACAGATAATCCTTCTGACAATTCTGTCATTATCATTGATCAATGTGACAAATTTGAACTTGGACCTGCCAACGTACCCAAGGTAGATGGGTTTAGATTTTTCATCAAATAAGAGATTTAGTCTGTGTAATACAAACTTGATCACACTTATTTGGGGTTTGGTTGAGCCTGTTAACTCCATGTATGTGTCAACACTGATTATGCCTCAGTTGTTCACTTCCATAACCGTATCTCCATGTATGTGTAAACAGAAAATCTGTGTGAAATTCCAGTTTTTTGTTTTTTTCTCTGTAAGACGTGAGAGTTCAGAGTTCAAACAATACTGTACATTGTATGCATATCATAGAAAAGAAATTGGTTGAAATTTATAAAATAGAATAAAAAAATCCAACCTTCACTTCTGCTTTTGTCTATTTTTTGCGTTTTTCATTCACATGTATTATACACCCCCATCCATATTGTTTCTAACAAAGCTGTAATACTCAATTTCTTCTTTGGAGGAGAGACTAATACGGTAATACCCCATTGATGACAAGTTTTGTTTTTTTTTTTTTTTACCTTGGCACTTGTAGTGTAGTGGTAGGTTTTCGTCTTTCAAAATAAAAGGTCAAGGGTTTGAGTCTCCTTATAGGGGTATAATTGTAATAGGGGTGTGATTTTCTTACCAAGGTTAAAAAAAACAAATAAACAAATAAATAAATAAAAAATAAAAAACTCATAAAAGTTATGTTATGGTTTTAATTATATTGCATAATAATAATAAAAAAAAACTACATCAATAATTGTGTGTATGTATTGCACGTTTTGGTATAAACTTATAAGGGCTATTAGTTATACAGTTATACTCATAAGAACACTACAGATCATTTTAACAGTTGAGCAAGAAATTAACAAAAAGAAGTCTGGGGAACAGGTATTATCGAATATTAAAACACACATGCAAGAGCGTGCGCACGTATATAATTGTGTGTGTGTGTGTGTGTATATATATATATAAACAGAGGAAATTCCTGGAAAGTTCCTGTTTTTACTTTTTACCTGCAATACCCTAAATGTCAGGCATATTAGTATATGATAAGATGTTGTAGGCATGGTTGTGGTCTAAAAAAGGCGCTTTGATTTTACATGTGTCTCTGTAATTAAATATATTATTAAGTATAGTAATTGTCCACTTTTCTTCTTGGTGGTTCCTTCCATCGGTTTTATTATGTTTCTTTTTTAGTCATCTTTTTCCCTATATGGGTAGTAAGTACATCTGTCCAAATAATTAATAAAAATAAACCTAAAAAAGTGTTTCATAATGAATAATAATGTACCTTGAGTTGCAATTACAGCTCATATTCATAATTTGACATCATGATCATATGTATGCACAGTTATGCATAAAATAGATGGACCAAAAGTACAGTGTGTCTATGCTTTCTTTTTAGGAGTTATGCTACAAATGCCTTTTCTTTTTCTCACAAGTGCTATAACACAGGAACTACATACATTTTCTGTTTTTTATTTTTTAAATGACAAATCAACTCACTTGTTAGTCATTTTGCATTCTCAAATACTCAGTAAATTTCAAATGTACACAATGCCCGAAAACAAATTAAGTATGAACTCCAGTTATTCCATTCACATTAATTTTTGAAATCTTTTCTAAAATCCCTTATTAAATTTGATTTCTTATTTAAAGATTTTGTTATTATTATTTTTATTCTCCTGTAGGTACGTAGAAGACAAGAAAAGAAGAAAGTAGTAATAAACTTAATTTTAAGACTTTAGATGTTTTTTACCAAAATAAATGCACTTGAATAAGATGCAACAGAGACATGCAAGAGCACAAAAGAGTACAGAAAATAAGAAATATGCGTGGTTGGTTTGAGAATTAAAGTTTGTTTCTTGGTTTTTGTACATCTTCATCCATTTAAACTAATTTATGTTGTGTACCTGCATGATGAACAACAATTGGAAGTCATGAATTTAAGCCAAACCATGTAACTGTCTTCAACATTATTAATAAAAAATTTTGGGGTCTGGTTGAGCCTGTTAACTTTAATGGGGCTGTTTTACTCCTAATTCTAAACCCCCACAACATCACTTGTTTGGAAAAATACGTACCTTAAGTTACATATAAATCCATGGAGTTGCCACTGCATAAGTTTTATTGCAATGACTTGCACAAAAGATGATAGTTAAAAGAAAAAAAGAAGAAAGAAATGGAGCAGAGTACTCCAAGCTATAAGACGGAAGAAGGGAGTAGTGGAGTCCAACCCATGTAACAGCTCTTACTTAGTTTCTGTGAATTAATACACAACTGAAACCCTATTAACCTTTGTCAGGTTGAAGGTGTTAAACAATAACAATAATCTTCTCAGGGCTCAGTAGCTCACTAAGACGAGCATACTTCACTTTTCTTAAAGAGTTGAAAAAGAATGTCCATATAGAAAGAAATAGACTGTAGGAATTTGTTAGTGTTTCTTATGTTTTCCTTTTGGGTGAGAAGGGAAAAATATTTTCTGGGGAAGATATGATGGGGTCACAAGATAAAATTAAGTTGAGATTGGACAAGGAGAATAGTTGCTGTGGATGTGTTTGCTGCCTATTTTTAACCTGAAGGATTATGCTTCTCTTCCTGCTTATTTAGTGTATCTAGTTCTCCTTTCAGGTTAAATCTGTTTCCCTGGTGTCAAACTAATAGCCTTTTATTTTTTAATTAGTGAATACTAATTAAGATTAATTACGTATTCTTTATTGGGCTTTCCTATTCATTTTTCTCTCTTTAATTTTGCCTTAATTTGATTATCAGAATTGGATCAGGAGCACTGCTTCTCTTCAACAAGTGTTTCGTGCTTCAAGTTCAGGTGATCAGATTTTCTTGCAGTTCATCTTTACTTTCTTCATATGCACTTCTGCACACGTAGCTTTAATAGTTTACAGGATGTCATCAGGTATGCTTCGTTTTCTGAGATGTTGGAAGCAGAGAGTCTAGCAAAAGTCCTTCCTGGAGTAAAAACCACAGAAGAAGGTAACAGCCTCATATTTTATTAGGAATTCAACTCAGGCTACTTTTTGATGTTGCTGCTGATTGTAAATGATCCACAATAGGGCTGCAGATGAGCCGAGCTATTCATGAAAAGCCCGGTTGGCTTGATTAAAGCTTGGCTTGAGGTTGTTTGATAAACAAGCCGAGCCTGAACAATCCATGGCTCGGCTTGTGAACATGTTCATGAACAAGTTCGATAAAGGTTCGTGAACATGAGTTGTTTATTAGAATTTGTTTGAATATATAGTTATTTCTTCTTTTGAAGAATCTTAAATCTCAAAATATATGCAAAAGTACCTAAATTTCAAATGGACATTTCTTCTATCCGGAACATCCCAAATGATTTTTCTTTTTTGCCTTAAAAGAAAGTACAGGATTGTGGACCTACGGCTCTAATTTTCAAAAAAAAATCAGAAGGTACAGATACAGGCCCCCAGGGATATTTGCACTTCTGAAATAACACCATAAAGTGGCCATCACCTGAATCTGGAGAGGGAGAAGATTTAAAATTCTTTCAAACCTCTAATTAGGTGTTTTGATGACTTTTATTTTTTATTTTTATTTTTGTTTCATTTTTGAGGCATAACATTTTGATGACTGTTTGTACAGCCTGATATTAGCCAATATTGTGATGAACCCAGCAGTTACTGGTTTGCTACCTGATAGGCCTTTCTCTGGTTGAAAATTTTCAAATATAATAAGCAGTTATACAATGTGGAATCTGAAAGGATGGTAAACTGTTGAACTGCAGAAACATTCAGGGAAGCTTATCAGAAAGCAAAAGGCAAAGAGAAAGAAGATTCAACTTTTTTTATCCAAACCTGATGTTAAGAAGAGTGAGAGGAAGAAATGATATGATAGAGGACTCTTTTATAAGTTAAACACTAAATGAGTTGTAATGAGCTCTAATATTTAAGCAAATGAATTCGTGATTTATAATGTCACACTTTATTTTATAATGTCATGCTTTATTTTCTTTTAAGTGAAGTTTAGAGAACATGCTTATTTTTTAACCTGCTTGGTCAGATATCATATCCTCTTCTTGTTGCTGCTCGGTACTAAGTTAATCCTGCAATCACTTAACTTAAATGAAAGAATTACTGATGACCAGTAAAATCCTGACTTTGAAGTGATTTACAAAACTTATTATATTTGTAGTCCACAAATAATTGACATTCAACCTTTTCAGGTGTGCGGATTTACCGGAAGTTTTACACAAAAGAGAAGGAAAGGTCAAATGGAGTCCTTGCAATTCGTGTTACGAAGCCAGCTGCTCAGCTTTACATTCCTTTGGCTAGCATACTTTTGGTAAGTGTATTTGCAGTTAAGTGATGTAGATGTCTGGACACGGAACATAACACTACACAAATATGCAGAAACAACAGACGCTAGAAAAGTAGGATATCGTCAGGCATGAACACAAGAATATAAATACTTCGTATAATTTTTGTTTATATACATTTATTATATAACTGACTGTAGAATCTTGATTAATTTTATTATGAGAATTGTATAATGTGAAAGATGAAGTTAAAGAATTATCAGATTATTATATTGTATATATGTTGCTGCTCCACTGTTTCATTTTATACTCCTATATCGCATGCATTTATATATGCACATAATATGGTCAGGTAAGAACCTGCTTTGATTTTTTGCATGTGCATATAGGGTTTTCTTGTCTTCATTTAATTACCAAACATCTATATTATTTAGAGTAGAGATGTACCTTATAGTACAAGGATCCTGCAGTTGTATGTTAAACTATTTTCATGTCTATCCAGGGATTGAGTTACGAGGGTGTTCAGAGGCTTTTGGGTCTCACTCGTACAGCAGGAACAATTCCAGAGGCGCTTCCTCCGCCAAGATCAACTCTGCTTTTGTCATTTTTGTTGCCTCATAACCCAGAGGTATAATGGTGACTTGTAATAATTATCTTATTAGTTATTATCTTTTTATTTTATTTGTAAATACAATTTTCCTTTTAATTTTTTTTAGTTCTTGATAGTGCAAATTTTCATGTTATTATAAGGAAAAAGGAAAACGGAGAGAGATCGAATTGGGTTTGTTGATGATGTTTGGATTGTATTTAAAAGGATTTATTTGGCTAGGAGGATGAGTAAGCTATTTTGCATTGTCTGCACCTTAGACATAGCACATACACTGAGGAGGTAGGTCGAACAATTTAATGGGTCTCATGTAGAAGAAATAAAAATCTGACTTCCAGTGTGTCCTCTGGAATGTACAGTCAGAAATATATATCAGAAATCTATATAGTGTAGATGGTACATTTCATCCAATTGCACTGACGAGTGACATCACTGATGATACCTACCATATTGGACCTGAAAAACCCTGATCTGTACATTTACAGACTAGTGACTTGATATCCTTTACCCAAATGGTGGTGCACTTGTGATCTATTTTTGTATTTTATGAATTCACATTGGGATGTTCTGTTTATCAGAGTGATTGGAAAAGAAAAAAAATCTTTGTATTGACATTGAGATGTTCTGTTTGTCAGAGTGATTGTTAAAACATTTTCTTCTTGAGAGTTCTTTTTTATTTTTATTTTTATATACAAAGTTTATATGTTTATTTTCTTGAAGTCTTTAGGAGAATGATAATATGATACTTTTTTCAGTGCTTAACTATTCTCATTTTCTTGTCTACAGGTTAAAGGTAGCATCTTGACTGATGGAGCTAGGGCCTTAGCTAAGCACATCAACAGGAGCAGTGATGGATACTGGGGTAGTTTCAATGGAAGTGGTTGGTTCCTTTTTTTGATGTGGCTCTTCAATATAGATATGTTGTTTTTATTGCATGTAAACATAACACTGATCGTTCCCATGCCTCATAACATGCTATTAAGAATATAAGTTTCTTTCCAAAAGGGAAAAAGGTGTGATGTCTTTGCTTCTTCTTTTGGGCTGACATACTCTTTATGAGCACCAACTTATTAATATAGGCAACTTGATAGTTTAAGAAGTTCACAATGAATTACTGTTTTGTTTGGAAAAAGAAATGTTGATGGGAACATATATACTCTCATGAGAGAAACTATGTTGGATGCATAGAGGAATGACCATTAGTATTCCTCCCTCTAAACTTGATTGTATAAGCCTAAAAAAGTCTTAAGAAACCCATCGTATCATTACGTGAAACAGCTAAGGGAGGATAATTAATTGAATGGTGGCTATCAAATTCCACACATTTGGGAGCATAACTTTTTAAACTTTTTAAAGACAATAGCAAATTTAACTCAATAATAGAATCCTCCGTTTTGGTTAGACATTTGTTGCAGATAATACGTCATCACCTTGTATTTAGTGGTTGGGGTTGAGGGAGGATAATTAATTGAATGGTGGCTATCAAATTCCACACATTTGGGAGCATAACTTTTTAAAGACAATAGCAAATTTAACTCAATAATAGAATCCTCCATTTTGGTTAGAAATTTGGTGTAGATAATACGCCATCACCTTGTATTTTTAGTGGTTGGGGTTGATATGATGGTGGATTCACCTTTTAAATGCTAAGGTAGTGTTTTTTTAGGATAATGATTAATGATCATTGTACATTTTATAAAAAGAAACGAAAAAAGGTTTTTCTTTGTTAGACTCTTTAACACGAATAAGAATCTTTTTTTTTTGTTAAAAACACGAATAAGAATCTTGATTGATCTTTTTTGTTGCTTTTTCTTTTTTCCTCCACTAGATTCCGATAAAAACAGACTTGCTGTTGATATCATTAGTCACTTAATAGATCATTGTTACTGGCAAAATATGCATATTGTTCCACCACATGGGGTGGTCTTTGAGATAAGGATTGCTGATGGTTATGGTGCTCGATGGTCTGAAGACGGAACAAAGGTATTAATGTTATTTTTATATGCCTTTTAAATTATAACTAAAAGGACGGATTAAAATTTATGTGAAACTTCTACAGGATTTGCGGCTAGAGAAAAGCTAGAATTTTGAATAACCTCAGACTGAATCTCAATATTGTGCAGTTAAAAATCAGATCTTGACGACCCAATCTCCAAAGAATTTGCAGGTTGTTTTTCTTTTGCAGAATTAAGATTTTAGAAAAAGATTAGAATGTTATTGCAATGGCATTTTGGTTCTGATTGTAACTGAAATGAAATTAATAATAATTTGAATTTTTTTTTTTTTTCAAAATTGCTTTGAATTACTGCCATTTTATATGGTGGAAAATTTGAATTTTGAAAGTGACTTAAATCAAGCTGGACTTCGTAATATTTTGAACTTGGTCTTGTGACCATGTTGAACAAGGAAATGTTATTTTCTGTTATAAGTTTTTCTCTTTTTCTTTTCTTTTCATTGTTTTTCCTCGTTCTCTGTCCATATTTCGGAAAAAGCACAATATGGTTATTATATGCAACATTCCTTAGGCTGTGTTTGTTTCATTGCCGAATCGTATTCTCATAAAAAGGCATAAATACCAGTAACTTTAGATGACAAGATGTATGTTAATATATGGCTTCTATCGGCAGGATATAAGTGGTGAAAAAACTTCCTATGGATGTTGAAAAAAGTTCTCTCAGATAACACTGGACAAGCCACAGTTTTGAAATGATTCCCTGTAAAACAACATTGGCTGCCATCAGGTGGACTAAAATTCGCCTGTTTAAAGATTACACCTAGCAAACAATAGGAAATTGTATAAACAGGTAACCAATTGAAAATTGAAGTTTTATGTCAGGATTTGACTTTCTTTGGAACAGATGGAGCCTATAGTGTTTAATCTGTCACTGCTAATAGCAAAATTTTGATTTTAGTCACCTATTTCTATATCGTTGCAGTTCATTGGATTTCTTGAACCATACATGATGGAAGGCCACTCAAAAGGATGGATGCACTGACTTTACTCCAGGAGACAGTTACTTTGGCCCTCTCAACTGTGAAAGTGTGCCTTAAGTGGGAATTGTTCTATTCTCACATAGTCATAACTAGAAGACATCAAGTATAAGCACAAGTCTCAACTCTCAAAATTTTCAGGCTGCATGTATGCTCTTTCCTTTTAAAACTGAAACCAAACATTCAATGTACTGGCAGGACATGGTGTCAGTCCTTGACCCATGCACGCTGTAATACCCCTAATTTTAAAAGGACAGTTCTGGAATTTAATTTAATTGTTTAATTGCATTTTTAATAATTTAATTGTTTAAATTGCTTGTTTATTTGCTTAATATTTGAATTAACTGTGAATTATGTGATTTTAATAAATTCTTTTTATTTAATGATGTTTATGTGACTTAATTCATTGTTTAAATTGTATTTTATTTTTCTGTAATTACGTTATTTGAATTAGTAGTATTTTCTTTCATGGACATAATTGCTTGAATAAGTTAAATGCGTTAGTTGTAATTTGGGGTTTTGTTTTATGTTCTACGTTATGGCCGACGAGAGTTTAATTAGGGTTTTCAATCTCTAATTCTAAGTGGACTAGGGTTTTCAGAGACGCCTATATATATTCTGATATTAGGTCTGTCTAGGGTTTAAGCTTTCAACGTAGTTCCACGCACAGAGAGTTGTGAGAGGCAGAGAGGAAGCAGGAGTGAAACTTGAGAGATAAACAGAGAGGTTCAAGGAGGACGGGACGGAGTGCTTCTGGGTTGAACAAAGAGCAACAGAGGAGTGGAACGGCAGTGTAGGAAGTGGTCGGAGAATACAGAGACGACGGTTCAAGATTTCTAAACTGAAATCAGAGGCAAGTCTCTATCCTATCTCTTTCCCTTTAACCTGTGTTCTGTGCATGCCTAGGTAGACTCCAGGAGTTTAATTAATGCTAAAACATATCTGTGATGCATGTTTAAATTGTATCTTATTTCGTTGAATTAATCTATTTTGGAAATTCTTAAAGCGTTTAGTTGTATCTCTCTGTACATGTTGTTAAGCCTTGTTTAATTGAGATTGTCGATGCATGTTATTGTATTTAAAATAATCTGGGACACGAAATGAACCTTAGAACTAGTGTTTAAAAGATTACAGAGGCTCTGGGAATTGCCGGAGGCGAGGAAGACGAAGTAGAGACGGACGACGGCTCTTACGGGTGAAAGAGCAGGCTCCTGAAAGGAGGGAGCCAGCTCTCACAAAGCAAGAGCCGGCTCCCACATGTAGGGAGCCGGCTCCCAACACTCAAGAGCCGGCTCCCAAGGGTGGGGAGTCGGCTCTCACTTCAAAAGAGCAGGCCCTCAACTTAAGAGAGCCTGCTCTCGCCCAAAATTGTGTACGGTGGGTGTTTAGGCTGTGTTTGGATTGTGTAAACTATTTTTAGTCCGTTTAAATTGCAGTACATGATGTAGGAAAGTATTGTGGACCTATAAAAATGCAGGGAAACAATAATTCACAAATGGATTAAGGAAGGGACAGTGTGAACTTAGGAAAAAACCCCTACAGGTAGCACTTTGGTTGTTAATCAACTTGCATACTAGAACTTGTAGATTCTTGTATATATGATTTAATACTAGTGAATCATACCTAAACGGAGTTATAAGCATAGTGATATATTTGCAATTAACTATGCCTAGTTTAGATTAAATTGGTATTTAGTTGCTTTTAAATGTATCAATTTATGGATGATTTGGAGAATTTAAATGCTATAACTTATTTTAGCTATTTAAATTGTTGAAGCATGATTTTTAGGTTCTGTAATGAATGCCTAATATTGTTGGATATGTGTTAACTTATATTGATGCATATTTTAGAGTATGATTGATGAGTTATTAATACTGCTTTGTCAATTATACGGACTTGTGTGTTGTATGCACCGGTATGGGACGGTGGCATAGTAGGGACGGATCAGTTAAATACTAAGTCCTACCTATTTGGAAATAAGTTGGATTAACAATAAAAGTTAAGTCCTACTTATGTATGTGTATATGCACCGGTATGGGACGGTGGCATATTAGGGACGGCTTAGTTCAAAACACTAAAACCTACCTATTCTAGGGATGGATTAGTTCAAAACACTAAGTCCTACCTATTCTGAAGTAAGATGGATTAACTATGAAAGTTAAGTCCTACTTATATATATGACAGGTCAATAAACATTTGAATGTTATATCTTGAACGGATTATATATATATATATCTTTATGGTGCCGTGATATGAGCTTGAGTCTCAGGATCATGGTTAGGGCACGTATATCGCCTAGGATGGATAACTGGACAGTAGTTTCTGTTCCCTAGTAGGTCTAGGTACACATGACCACAGTATGTGCAATTTGTATGGTATCTCTACTCAGACTGAGACAGACCTATTGGACTAGTGAAAGTCCTATAGTGTGTAATATATACATATATGGACTACTCTATATATTGTTGAGCTATCTAGGATGTATCTGCGTATCGGGTTTCTGTATGGATCGTAGTAGGATAGGACTTGCATGTGGGCCTGACCCACTCTCTTATTTTTCAGGTGTTCGTCAATTCCAGCGTTAGAGCTTGGACGTGCAGAGCAGATACAGACATTCATTCCTCCAACTACGTAGGACTACTTTCTGTGTTTAGCTTTAGATTTTATTTCAGTTATTTGAGTTGCAGTTTGGGATATTAATAGGGGTCCACAGGATGGATTCCCGAGTTGTATGATTTGGAGGTTTTGGAAAGTTTGGTTTTAATTAATAACTTTTGGGGATTTTATTATTAGTAATTCTTTCAGCCTTTATTATTTATTTTCTTAGTTCATTTTGTAATCCGTGTTCAATTTAAGTATTAATTGTTTGATATTTCCTCAGATTTGTGCTCGGACTTGATCACCCGTGGCTCTAGAATCGAGGGGTATCACACACGCCATCATGGTCCTTCGTTCTATAGTTGTTGTGGTGTCCGAAATATGAACTAGTCTATTGTGATTTATATATTTTTATTTTTTTGCTTGAATCGTCTCTCCTCTTTGAATGCCTTTAATTCTGCAGTGCAACCCCTTTTCTAGATTTTCATAGGTTTCTATGCCATTTCAGTTTGTATCATTTATCAGAAGTTAATTTTTCTATGATCAAAAGTAGTGGAAGTGGACTACGAGTGCTAGAGCCAGAATTTGATAGATCCGCTAAGATGTAGAGTTTCTCTATGATTGTATCTTGGTAGTTACTGCCATGGTTTAGCTATTCACTGTCAAATTTTCAATCTATTCACCGCTACGTGTGCTATATATGCCAACAAGGTCACTCTCTTTATGGTGATTTACTCTCTAGCTGTTGAATTCACTAGTTTGTTTCTAGTCTGCCTGCCTAGCTGCAGATTTGGATCTTTCTCTAAAATTTAAATTTCCTTTCTGGTGAATATGATAATATATATTCGATTGTGGTTGTTTTGCTTATGTTAATCCCGTCAACATCTTTGGTCAAACTTTGACTAGTTGGCTCTGAACGCTCTCTTCTGTTCTAGTGTAATACTACAGCTTCATATCACAGAAAAAGCACCCATCAACTAGTCTGAATGGAATACAACAGTCAGTTCTCACCACTGGACTTGGATGGCTCGTTCCTTGGGCAACAATTTCTTCAACCTCAACTTTCGTCAATTTATGACACAAGGTAAAGTAGACAATCACTTTGAGGTTTCTCTTTGACATTTAGCATGGAATTAAAACAGGTGCAATTTCATTTAAACTATGAAAATCACTTGTTAGAATGTATTTGGGACCGTTGTGCTACTAATATATTCAGTTATTCTCTACATCCACTATCATATAATTTCTGAGAATCTCAGTATCTCAGCTATTAGCGGTGGCCCCATCTTTCAGTTCTTGTTACTGCTTCACCACCAATACATCATTGCACTGGTAACTTATCACAGCCACATTTTTTAACCATTACTGGTACCATAACCTGACTTAGCATGACTGGCCAATGCCACGCTGTTGGGTATGACTTTGTCAACACCGCATGTATGTTAAACATACCACGCTTCTATGACCACCATCACCACCTAATACTTGAATTTAGGGTCACCATTTCAAAATCGTGTTTATTCTAATGACTTGTCCAAATAGTGAAATACTAATAGATGTTTGAAGAGTCTATGGTTTCAGTTTTCTGTGTGTCGTAAATTGTAAATTTATCAATTTTCAGTTTTTCGTACAAAACTTGGCTTAGATTAGTTTCCAAAAAATGATTTACTAGAACTAATTTGCATTTATCGTACTTCAATTATATGAACTTGTCCATTAAACATAGGAGGTGTTTGTGCATCACGCAGTGGTGTTGATGGGAGGAGTTGTACAGTGAGAATGGTGCAAGAGGTGGTGGTTATGGTGACAACTTTCTCCACACCCTCCCCCCCTCAACTTTTTCTTCCCCCTAATTAGTTCCTTGAAGTGCATGAAAATGATGTAGCTTGATTATTATTTTCCTTTACTCCACAATCTTGCTGAGGAAAGTTCTGCATTCTATTGTTATTTTATTTTTCTCTTCGTCACTAACAGGCGCTATTCCTTATATCTTCCTCAAATTTTGATTAGTAATTTGTCTTTTGTAGTCACTCCTATCATCCACCTCGACATCAGCACACCATCCGTATAAGATAGATGATTTAATGTTGTTGTTAACAACCATCTACTCTAAAAGTTTAAGCTGTTAGAGATGGTGTAACTTAAATATTTAAATCTTTCAACACGGCCCCCCATGTGTGGCCTTCTTTTGGTCCAATACGTATTTCAATTTAATTATCAGAGTGACAGTGAGGTTTGAAGATAGGACCTTGCCTGCTATGATACCATGTTAACAACCATCTACTCTATAAGCTTAAGCTGTTGGAGAGGTTGTAGCCTAATGTCACGGGTTTAAAGTTTCAGCATCACTCTAGCTACTCCCGTGCGGCACCAAGACATTGCTTCTATTCTCGCAAGTACTTGGTCAGCCTAACCCCCATACCCACCTTGACCAATGCACTCTCCTCGTGCGCTTACTAGTGTTGTAGTGTCCCTCGCCCTCTCCTCACTTGGCTTGCACACTCACACACACTAAGGCATTTAAGTTGGTAAGGAAAGAACACTTCTATCACTTTAAAGAATGCTTTGTACAAGGCTAGGATGCATCCCAAGACTCAAACTCTCTACAAGGCTCTCAAGATTCACTCCAGGACTTGATCGCTATAAAATGAAGTCCCACTCCTATTTATAGGCATCCCCATCCCTAATGCACGGCTAG